TAGCAAATGAGTTTGGACCTTGAAGGAAGATAAAAGATTTCAAGAGAAGATGAAAGGAGTGCATTGCAGGAAGAGAGGACAGTTTACACAGATTTACAGAACCTGGTAAGAGATGGGATGAGATTGGGGAAAAGTTAGCAGTCTAGTTATGTTGGAACATTAAAAATAGAGAGAACTAGCATAAGACAAGAATGAAAAGAAGTGTGGAGTGCCTTTGATGGGGGGGGAGGACTAAGAATTTTGCATTCTAATAAGAAACAGGGAGCTGGGCTTAAGCTTTTGAACATGGACAAAATTTGAGAGCAAGTAACTCCCACCACCCTTCCAATTTAAAAAAAAAATCAAGGGGTCTGTTGGCCAAATAGCATTAATTCCACAAACCACATGTCATTTGCCTAGTATACCAAGGCAGTCTTCAATTCTGCAGAGCAGTCACAATTAAGAAATGATATAACAGGAGTAGAAAACCTCTATTTTTTTACATACCCCAGGAGGCAGTCCACTGTACCATGGCAGAGGCATTCATGATTTCTACAGGAACTTTTAAAATGGTACCTTTACACTCCCTGAGTATTGGAGAGGTGAAAATGCAGCTTACGTGACAGAATATAATCACCAGAGGAACAGGATTCACACTCATAAATCAAACACAGTACTGGTGACATGCATCATTGCCCTGATAGTGGGACCTAAGCCAGTGATTCACGAATAAAATTTACCTCATTTTCCTTTTCCCCTTCTGCATGTCAGCCACAAAGCAGGCATTTACTTGGGAAAGAAACTAAGAACCACCACAGAGGATTTGCTAGCAAAATCACAAAATGCTTGTTGTAATGCTCACAAATTCATGATGAAAGCAAAGCCCTAAGGGTGGTGGGACCACACATATCCTTGCCCAGAAGCAAAGAAGTATCCAGACAGAGTAGCTCTTGAGAAGGAAGGGTAGTTGCCAAGCTGACTGAGTCTTTGTCTATTCCCTGGTTCCTAGTTAACATTTTCTCCATTTCTCTAAGGTCTTTCATTCACTTTATACACATTCAAAATGATAACCTATTTAATATATGCTGGCCTTGACCTGATAGCATCAGCATGACACCACTGTATGTAAACACCATTTTATTTCGGCTCAGGCAGGACTCAGCATACCATTCTTATAAAGGCAGTGGCATAGGTGGCATGGGGCACTAGGTCTGGAGTCAGGAAGACCCGAATTAAAATTCAGTTTCAGACACTTATTAGCTATGTGACCCTAGTCAAGTCACTTAACCTCTTTTGGTCTCAGTTTCCTCAACTGTAAAACAGGGATAATAATAGCATCTACCTTCTAGGGTTGCTTCAAGGATCGAATAAAATTTGTTTTGTTTTGTTTTGTTTTAAGTCACTAAGCACAGTGCCTAGGCTTATTCCCCTTCCTCCCTCCCTTATATCACCCAAATAAGAGAGATGATTAATGCCTTGGCCAATTCCATTGGACTACTGTAGAATGAATTGGACAGTTTTCTCACACTTGGCTATGTCTTGTAACTGGCACAGACCAATAACATGCTGACCTGGATAAAACAGCCTTAAGCTTTATACAACCCACATGACTCTGTACGTGCTGCCCTGTAAGTCGCTAATTTGTCGACCTGTTGGTCCTACCCTAACTTGCCCACCCCCACCCACAGAGAATGTAAAAACAAAATGCATAATGGGTGCCAGCAATTAAAAATAAATGAAGGTTCCAGCTAAGTTCTCTTGCTGTGGCCAGAGCCCCTGTCTGTGGGTCTAGCAGTGGGAGGATGAGTGGTACTGCTGTGTCAATATAGGAAAATGACTTAATAAATGTCACCTGAACAACTACAACACTAAAACCAGATTAATTTCATCGTCTTCTAAAAATAAGCACCGTGGGAGCTCCTGTCCTATTGTCTATGGAATACCAATCCAGATACTTTCCTACTCTGCTTTTGCTTAACTTTTTTTTGTTGTTTTGTAATCAGTATCCTTCAGAAGGCAGAAACTCTGAGTAAGAAAGAGGGGCTGGAACAGAATTTATGCTCTCTTGGGGCTTATTAAAATAGGTGTTCAGTGGAATCCAAGAAGAGCTATGTATCTGAAAGAAGTAATGAGGACAGAGTGAATGGTCTGTTACAATGCCACAAAGAAGCAATTTTTAAGTTGCAATTTATATACACCCTCCCCTGCATGGCTTTTTTTTTTTTTTGGCTGCCAGTTATATAAATGAGATCTTCGCCCTCAGGTTGGCATCCAGGGCACTTTCCAGGATGAAATCCCAAAATGCAGCCAGAGAACAAGTATTTCCTCCTTGCTTGGCCACACTGGAGTGAATCAAAGGAAAGAGACGCATCTGTCAGCCTAGTGATTGGTGGAGCGAGGGTCATCTGACTGCCAGAGACTCACTGGGTGCTCAGGGAAGCAAAGTGTAGAGATTGTTCTTCACATCTCCAGCAGATGCTTACATATTAAATAATGTTTTCTTCTACATTAACAATTCAACCCTCGCCTCCCCCACCTGATACCAACCATTACCTCCATCCAAAAAATTCAGCTCCCTTGGAAAATTTTAGAGCAGGGGTACTTTAACTTTTTGTTGTGGAAACTTTTGACAGTCTGATGAAACTTACAGACCTCTTCTCAGCAGAATACTTTTAAATGAAGAAAATATAATTTACATGATTACAAAGGAAAACAATTATATTGACGTAGTTATCAAAAAAATATTTAAAACAAATTCACATACTCTAGGTTAGGAACCTCTGCTTTAGAGGAAAGTTTTACCTCCATCTGTTTTCTCCCCTAAGTGATCCTAGAGATTGTGATTCAATGATAATAGAATCTTCTTTCATCAGCCACAAACTTGCCATTAAAATGTTGAGGAAAATGGGCAAAATATTCATAGCATCCCAAAGAAATCAGCGGATTGATTCTTCTAGAATTCATATGGACTTTCAACAAAGGTGGGTGCATGAATAATTCCAGCAAAGAAAGACCCAGGTCCTTCAGCAATGGAAAGATGAAGACTGCCATATAAAATGGAGATTTAACAAAAGCAATGACCACTCATTACTTTAGAAGACTAATGATGAAACAGAGGTATAGAACGAGATATTCATTTTCAAATATAGCCAATATATTGATTTGTTTTGTTTGATTACACATATTTGTTATAAGGGATGGCTACTGCTTGTGGGGTAGGGACAAGTTTGTGATAGTGAGAGATGCAAAAAGAAAGAAAGAAAAGTACACAAAAGAAAGAAAGTAAGTTGAGCAAAAATTAGGGCAATTTTATTACTACTGTGTTATATTTAATATACTTTTAAAATGTAACAGAAATTCATAGTTTAACATACATTCTTATTTGTTTTTTTGTATATTCAAATATTAATGTTTGTTGATGACTTAAGTTCATAATAAACAAGAAAATTTTTTTAAAAAATGATTTTCATGGAAATAATTGATTCAAATGATCTGCTCTCCATCCAGCTCACTGCACTAGAATGCACATATTTTACAACCAATTATATTTTTCCCTAAGAAGAACACTAACCTTGGGAGCTCAGGTACTTATGTCTACTAGATCTTTCACTGTTTATATCAATAAGGGCACAGCAAACTAATACTGGAAAGGACTTTTGAAAGATACTTTCATTTACTTGTTTTCAAGTGGAACACATATTAAACTATATATAAACCCTAACTAGGAAACTAAATATCTTTAAATATAGAGTAAAAATTACAATTAATATTTATACGTTTTCCTCTTGGACAAAAGTGCTTTTGGTGTCCTAATTCACCATTAAGGATGATAAAACTTACTTGGCATCCATTTCCTACTCTATTTATTGCCCCACCACCAACTCTTTATCCCTTATTCCCTGCAAAAATTTAGAAGACTGGAAAAGTCTGAGTGCTTTGAGAGACAAAATTTGCAAATTTTTAGGTGATTCCTCAGTAATTGTAGCTCTGACTTCCCAGCAGATCAAGTTTCTTGAAGTAATTTCATAGTAATTAGTCTTGTGCTTAAATGATAATCCTAAATTAGAAGCACTTAAAATCCTACACAAGAATGACCTGCTCTGTCAATGTTTATTCATTTTTATGCTAATGGGATAATCTTGGAAAAGACCTCGATAATAATTGCTTTCCCTCTTCAGAGGGATATTGATCCTTCAAGAGAATCACACTACCATAATTCATGGAATTAAATGTTCACCTAAGACCCTCCAGTTGACTAGTTTGACTCCCCTACAAGAACCTGGAGACTTGGGAACAACTTAATCAGTCAGAAATAGGAAAAGAAGGCTACAGGTGATTTCTGGCTCTGGTACAAAAGAGTATTTCTTTTATAAGTTGAAGGAAAAGGCTAAGGGGCAGCCAGGTGGCAAAGTGGATAGAGCACTGGTCCTGAAGTCAGGTGGACTTGAGTTTAATTCCAGCCTGAGACACTTAATTAGCTGAGTGACATGGGCAAGTCACTTAAACCCAATTGTCTCCTCCCACCTCAAAAAAAGGAAAAGGCTTTATTAAAGAAATCATAATAAATGACCATGGGAAAATAGGGGGAAAGACATTACCGTTTCCCATCTCCCACACCTCCTTCCCACAGCTAATGATGACTCAACATCCAAAAAAGAGAGCTACATTAAAACTGAAGCAAAGAGAACTACACATCATAATAATGCTCCATGGGTGAATATCCTGCTATTTAGCACACATTTAACATTTAACTGAGCTACACAGGTCAATCAGTGGTATTACAGATATAGCATAAGTAACTACAATAATCTATGCAATTCCTTTATTGATTCACATAAATAAATAAAGCAAAATAACTATATGATCATCATAATTTACAGTTTAAAGGGAGGAAGGGGGAGCAGGGCAAAAGGGTAGAATAATATGGATTGACAGTCATCAAGGTCATGCTAAGATTATGACTGAACTTTTATTGAACACATAGTAGGTACATGTTATTATATTGGATACTATGGTGTTACATTTAGTAGAGAATAGATGTGGCCCCTGACATCAATAAACTTGCAACCTAGAAACAAAGTAAACAGATAAACAGAACAAGAATGTATTTATATATACTATCTTCTATGAGGTACATCCCAAATAACATTTGCACATTGGGTCCCCAGGAGATGACTACCCCAGGTTCAGGGTTATTGGTAGGTCTATATTTCTAAAACTAGAGCTCAAAAGCCCCCACCAATGTGTTTACCTTTAATAATCAGCAAAAGGACACAAATAGTTCAAATCAAAGGCATTTACTAAGATGGCTTCATAAAAATAATAGCTACAAAACATTGCCCTCATAAAACTGAGGCATACTCCCTTACAAATGAAAATAGAATCAGAGAGAGAAGTGGGCACACACACAGAATACACAAATGGAGAGGCATATATCCACATGGCCAACACAAGCAACACCTTCAGCATTGCAGGGTCCTGAGAGTCTTTTTTTTTTTTAAATGGTGTCCTCATGCTACTACCATTGGGTATAACATTTGTACTGGGGAGGTTACTTTGTTGGGTTCCCTAGGCCTGTTTCTCTCTATACCTCAACTCTTGGCTAAGAATACTCACCTTCTTATCTAACTCTCTGCTGAGCATGGAATCTTCCAATGAGTGAGATGAAGACCCCATTGCCAATGGAGATAGGGGAGAGAAATCCTCTTTCCACCATGTACTTTTTAAGAGGCACAAGGGAAAAGTCTAAGAATGATCCCTCTCATGATCTGGGTTATTTTTGCATGCTGGCTCTTTTCTCAATTGTCAGGGATAAATCACTTTCCAAAACTCCAAAACTGACTTGCTTAAAAACAAAACAAACAAAAAAAATCTACTAAGGTTTTTAAGCCTTCAGCTTACTGGTGGCTTGATACCCTGAAATTCTATCAAGTCAATGAAGAAGCTACTTCATACCCACTTATGGAACAACAAATAATGAATACTTTTTTCTGCTTCCTTAATAAGCTGTGAATGATCCAAGACCAGTTTTGGACCCTTTCTTAGGTGGGAACCTTGCCTCATATTTTACAGAAAAAAAAACTGAGGCCATTTAGCATCAACTCCCTCTTCCTCATCTCCTATCACCCAGGTGCCTTCTACCAATTTCTCTTCCTTCACCTCTCTCTCATACAATGAAGTGGCCTTATCCTTTTTCAGGAGATCCCATCACATCCTGCCTCCCCCAACAGATTGCCTCCTCTGTCACACCCACTCTCTCACTTATTTTCTTTTTAAAAATTATTTATTTTTAACATTCATTTTTTTTAAAAATTGAGTTCCAAATTCTCTGTCTCTCTCTCTTTCTCCCCTTCCCCTTTCATTGAGAAAGCAAGCAATATGATATCAATTATACATACATGCAAAATGTTTCCCTATTAGCCATGTCACAAAAAATAAAGAAGGTGGGAAAAAATCCTCAACCTATAGTCAGAGTTCATTAGTTCTCTCTCTGGAAATGAATAGCATTTTTCATTATGAGTCTTGGAAATGTTTTGTATCATTTTATTGGTCAAAGTAGCTAAGTCTTTCATAGTTGATCATCATTACAATGTTGCTGTTACTGTATGCAATGTTCTGTTGACTTTACTCTGCATCAATTCATACAAGACTTCCCAGGTTTTTCTGAAACTATCCTGTTCATCATTTCTTATAGTATAATAGTATTCCATCACAATCACATACTACAACTTGTTTAGCCATTCCCCAATTTATGTGTATCCTCTTAATTTCCAATTCTTCGTCCACCACAAAAAAGAGCTGCTTTAAGTATTTTTGTACACATGGGTCCTTTTCACCTTTCTTTAATCTCTTTGGCATACAGACCTAATAGTGGTATTGCTGGGTCAAAGGGCATATGCAGTTTTATAGCTTTTTGTGTGTAATTTCAAATTGTTCTCCCCAATGGTTGGACGAGTTCACAACTCAAATAACAGTACATTAGTGTCCCTATTTTTCCACATCCCCTCCTACATTTGTCACTTTCGTTTCTTGCCATATTAGTCAATCTGATAGGTGTGAGGTGGTACTTCAGATTTATTTTAATTTGCATTTATCTAATTATTAATGATTTAGAGCATTTTTTTCATATGACTGTGGATAGCTTTGATTTCTTCTTCTGAAAACTGTTTGTTCATATGCTTTTTGACAATTTAGCAATTGGGGAATAGCTCTTACTATTTTTTTTTTATAAATTTGGCTCAGTTTCCTTAGAGAAATGAGGCTATTATCAGAGACACTTGCTGTAAAACTACCTCCACCGCGATCCCAGCCCTACCAGTTTTCTGCTTTCCTTCTAAGTTTGGCAGAATTGGTTTTGTTTGTGCAAAACCTTTTTAATTTCATGTAATCAAAATCATTCATTTTGCTTTCTGTGATCCTCTCAATTTCTTATTTGGTCATAAGCTCTTCCCTTATCCATAGATCTGACAAGCAATTTTTCCTATGTTCCCCTAATTTGCTTATAACATCACCCATTATGTCTAAATCTTGTACCCATTTTGACCTTATCTTGGCATATAGTGTGAGATGTGGGTCTATTCCTAGTTTTTGCCAGACTGCTTTCCAGTTTTCCCAGCGATTTTTGGTCAAATGGTGAGTTCTTGCCCCCAAAATTTGGATCTTTGGGTTTATCAAACACAAGATCACTATGGTAATTTACTACTGTTTATTGTGTACCTAATCTATTCCATTGATGTACCCCTCTATTTCTTAGCCAGTACCAGATTATTTTGATGATTACCATTCTGTAATATAGTTTGAAATCTGATACTACAGGCCATCTTCATTTACATTTTTTATTGATTCCCTTGCCATTGTTGACTTTTTGTTCTTTCAGATGAATTTTGTTAGTTTTTTCTATCCATATGAAATAATTCAATGGTAGTTTTATTGGTATGGCACTGAATAAGTAAATCATTTTAGGCAAAATTGTTATTTTTATTATATTAACTCAGTCTATCCATGAATGATTAATATTTCTCCAATTGTTTAGATCTGTATTTGCATGAAAAGTGTTTTGTAATTGTGTTCATATGAGCCCTGGGTTTCTTCTCGGCAGGTAGACTCCCAAGTATTTTATATTGTCTACAGTTACTTTAAATGGAATTTCTCTTTCTATCTCTTCCTACTGGGCTTTGTCGGTAATTTACAGAAGTGCTGATGATTTATGTGGGTTTATTTTATATACTGCAACTTTGCTAAAATTCTTGTTTCAATTGGTTTTTAGTTGATTCTCTATGGTTCTCTAAGAAAGCCATCATATCATATTGATACAAAGAATAATAGTATTGTTTCCTCATTTCTTTCACTTATTTTCAATCTTTCCTTGCCTACTGAGTCATTTTCTACTACCTACAAACATAGCCATGCTTCCCCCATCCTGAAAAAAACAACCTCTCATTTGATTTTTCCATCCCAGATAACTAATATTCTTTTCGGCCCTTTATAGCTAAATTCCTCTAAGAGGCGGTCTACAACAGGAACCTCCACTTTCTATCCTTTCACTCTCTTCTTAACTCCTTACAATCAGGCTTCTGATATTGTCATTCCTCTGCTCTTGCCAAAGTTACCTGTGATCTCTTAGATGCCAAATCCAATGGCCTTTTCTCAAACCCCATTTTCCTTGACCTCTTTGAAGCCTTTGATACTATTAGTCACTCTTTCCTACTTAATATTTTCTTCTCTCTCTAGGTTTTTGGGATGACACTCTCTCCCGGTTCTCCTCCTGCCTATATGACCATTTCTTCTCTGTCTCCTTTGCTGGATCCTAGTTCATACCCTATAGTGTTAAGGGTCCCTCAGGGTTCTCTTCTGTCCCTCTTTTCTTCTCCCTTTATACTACTTCACTTGGTTATCTCATTGGCTTCCAAGAATTTAATTACCATCTCTATGCTGATGATTCTCAAATCTACCTATTCTGCCCTAACCTCTCCGCTGACCTCCAGTCTCACCAAGTGGGCTAGAAGGACTCAGTAGATCTAGAGTCCCGCAGTCAACTCACAGTATACAGAGAAATATGATAATAACTTTCAATTATTTTGAAGGTAGCATAGAACAATGGAAATAATGCTGGATTTGGAGTTGGGGAAGCTGGGTTCAAATTACTACTTACTACCTGTGTGACCTTAAGCAAATCACTAAAGTTCTCTGGGATTCCTTTTTAATTATCCGTAAAAGGAAGGGAGGCAACCTAGATGACTGCTAAGATCCCTTTTGGCCTGAAAGCTACAATCCTATGATTTGTATAGTAGAACAAACATTTCCATAAACTGTTGTTGATTTAAAATGTTCCAGTAAAACTCCTTTTGTTTCCTTCACAAATGTCTTTACGCACACTGGGGGAGGTAGCCATAAATTTAAGGACTCATAAATGTGACAGGACACAATAGCCCAAGACAAGCAGTTAGCCTGCTAGCTGTTAGTTCCCCATTGATTCCTTTAGGATGTACACTCAAATAAGCATGGCTCGTCAGCAGGAAAGAAGCAGGGCTAGGAGCACTGCTTGGTAGGAAGGATAAGACAGTAGAATGAATGCTGGCCCCATCTCCAGCTTACTCATACACCATCAAACAAAACCTTGTTTCCCCCCCGTGCATTGTCCACTTAGATTTTCATTGTCCATTTAGGTTTTTGCCCTTTGAAGTATTGTGACATCAAGATCACATTCTGATTGGCAGTTCAAAGTGCTCCAGGCTTTTTATTAGACAACCTGCCAGTTGAGAAATTGTCTCTGCAAAATTGCCTTGGTGAGCTTCAGCACTCTGGATGTTATTACACCTTGGTCAGAGGAGAAGGGAAACATCAGGAAGCCTGGAGGGGGCGCAGCCTTTTCTAAATACCATAATGGTGACATTTTGTAGTTATTGAAGCAAGGGAAAAGAACAGACAGTTGCTGATGTAAGGATAGGTACTTAAGGGTCACCCAGGGTCACTTAGGTTAAGCTGGCCTTTGTAGCTGAGTAACAGTTACCTAAGCAGAGAAAAATGAAATAACCTGAGGTTACAGAACCACATGAAAATAACTTCAGT